AAGCCGAACATAAACTAGAGCCTCCTGGCTATAACTCAAACACAAAGCCTCCTGGCTAAACCATGGCGCCCAAACCTCTCAGAGCTGCCATCCTTCTCTCAGCGTTGGTTGCTGCATCGCTCGCCTCTTAGCTCCAGGAGCTCCTGCCCCTCTCGGCTGCTGGCAGGGAACTGCCAGCCTGGTCTCAGCCCTGGGCTTTATAAGGGCCAGGCCCTGCCTCCTACAGGCAGCTGGCTCTCCTTAGTTGCCCCGGCAACCCGCAGCTGGGCTCGTTACCCTGGCAACACTCAGCTAGGCTCTTTATGACCTGCCAGGGCTCTCTCTCTCTCCCTGGCAGTTTCTCCCCTCTAGGAGCAGAGCACCGAGGTGCTCTGCGACAGTCTGAAATGATCAATCAGAAGATTTTCTCTAAATTATTTACATGTTAATGCTGATTAAAGTAATAAAGCAGCTTTATGTTAGCGTTCAAATTAAGTCAGGCTGTTAGGTGTGCCCTTATTAAGATGGAATATATAATACATTTCTAATAAAGCCAGAACCATTAGATGAGGTGTCACTCAATGATTCTGTGAAATACATATTTTTGTTAGTTTCCTTTCCTGACTGGATACAGATATTTAGGGAGATTAGATTGAGTTAAACATGGCCACCTGATTTAAGGTAAGTCAGGATGGGAAGGCTTGTGGGGAAGGTTGGAGGGATAGGGGAGTCCCCACAGGGGGGGATGGGGTATGGTAATGGGGGCTATAGGAGGGATTGGGGGGAGGGGCAAGCAGGGTCTGCAGGGGCAGGTGGGTAGGGTCTGGGTTTGGTGGGATTAGTGGGGCTCGCAGAGTCCACGGAGAGCTTGCAAGGCTCTCTCTCCCACCCTGGGGCGGTGTTGGGAACCACACAGAAGTTTGGGACAGATGAGTCTAAAAATGGCCATCCTGATATAACTTAGACTACCTCAGAGGCAGAGTTAACTTGGATCAGATCAGCTGTTTTTTGACCAGTTTAACTGTCCTGGAACTTCTGTACATTATGCCTTTAGATCAGCCTAACTAGGGATTTAAGTGTAAGGTCCGCACCTGGGTGAACTTAGATAGAGTGGCCATTTTAAAACATGATCTAACCTCCCCCTAATCTTCCCAAATGTCTATATATAATCTGCTGGTATCAGTAGAAAACTTAAAATCGAACCTCAAAATAATATCATTTTGTCATTGAAAGCTTCTACTTGGACTCTCATTTTCTAGAGTTTTAGTTGAAAACAATTTTTTTTTGCTTGAGATAAATGCAAGAACACGTGGGCTGGTCTTAGTCTTTCCTCAAGTGTCTCAAAACAAAAATTAATCTCTTGTGATATAAGAAAATAAAAATAGAAATATACTGAGCTGCTGTAATGCTGTACTTGGAAAATTTAAAAACAAATCATGATATTTAAATCCCTCACTAAAGCAAGCAGTAGTTTTAGTCAGATTTTCCAAAGCAAATCCTTATACACTACCATGGAACTTTTGTTATAAATCTTTGCATTTCATGGACCAAGATGTGATGGCTCCTTAGGCTGCATTTGGCCCACAGACTGGAGGTTGAGCACCCCTGTTTTAGAGTTTTTAAAAGACCTCTAATATCTATATAATGTTTAGTTAATACTCAGCCAAACGCCACACTGAAGTTTTCTAATTTTAGAAGTGAAAATAATACTTTAGGCATTTTCCCTCCCAGCTTTTAAATATGAATCTCTTAAAAGACTTGTTAACAAGGCATTGGAGCACACTTAGTTTTAATGCCATTTAGTAAGCCTCAGGTGGGTACCCCCAACAGACCTGTTTGGATTAAAAATCCTTTTTTATTTTTAAAGTCAGGGATTCTTACATTTTTTTAAATGTACTTAGAATAATGAATTTGTATCATAATAAAAATGGGGTGAAGCTAGAATTGAGAGAAAATTCAGGTTTCTTCTGCATTTCTTAAAGGTGAGCTTTGCCCAAAGGTGGCTTTTACATAAAAAAAAAAAAAAAAAAAAAAAAAAAAAAAAAAAAAAAAGCGAAACTATTCCTTAGGCAGACCCAAGTCCTGCTCCTAACAGTTTCTAGCACTCTTGGTTTTTGATTGCAAAGGAAGTAATTTCCACATCTCTTATTCCTGTACCCACTTTATCCCATTGCTTTCATTCATTTATAGCACAGACACACTTTTACTTTAAGAGATATGATTGCTCTGAGATATGTCACTTTAAAGTTCAGGTGTAAGACATGGACATCCAAAAAGTGACTACCTTGACAGAAACACTAGAAAAAAAAATGATCCAATACATCTTTTCTATCTAAAATTAGAGTGCACATTTTGAGATAAGGTTATTGTTATGGAGTCTTGTTGTATAAAATCATAGAAAATTAGGGTTGGAAGGGAACTCAGGAGGTCATCTAATCCAATCCCCTGCTCAAAGTAGGACCAGCCCCAGCTATACCATCTTAGCCAAGGTTCATCTACCTGGGTCTTAAAAATCTCTAAGTTTGGAGATTCTACTACTTCTCTGGGTAACCTGTCCCAGTGCTTTACTACCCTCCTAATAAAAAAAGTTTTTTCCTAATATCTAACCTAAACTAACCTTGCTGCAACTTGAGACCATTGCTCCTTATTTTGTCATCTGCCACTACTGAGAACAGTCTAGATTCATAGATGTTAGGGTCGGAAGGGACCTCAATAGATCGAGTCCGACCCCCTGCATAGGCAGGAAAGAGGGCTGGGGCTAGATGACCCCAGCTAGATACCTATCTAACCTCCTCTTGAAGACCCCCAGGGTAGGGGAGAGCACCAACTCCCTTGGTGTGCCCCAGTGATGAACTTATAGGCAGCCACAAGGTCACCTCTCAACCTTCTCTTGCGGAGGCTGAAAAGGTCCAGGTTCTCTAGTCTCTCCTCGTAGGGCTTGGCCTGCAAGCCCTTAAACATACGAGTGGCCCTTCTCTGGACCCTCTCCAGGTTATCCGCATCCCTCTTGAAGTGCGGCGCCCAGAATTGCACGCAGTACTCCAACTGCGGTCTGACCAGCGTCCGATAGAGGGGAAGTATCACCTCCTTGGATCTATTCGTCGTGCATCTACTGATGCACGATAAAGTGCCATTGGCTTTTCTGATGGCTTCGTCACACTGCCGACTCATGTTCATCTTGGAGTCCACTAGGACTCCAAGATCCCTTTCCACTTCTGTGCCACCCAGCAGGTCATTTCCTAGGCAGTAGGTATGCTGGACATTTTTTCTCCCTAAGTGCAGCACTTTGCATTTCTCCTTGTTGAACTGTATTCTGTTGTTTTCTGCCCACTTGTCCAACCTGTCCAGATCTGCTTGCAGCTGTTCCCTGCCCTCCGACATGTTCACTTCTCCTCACAGTTCTGTGTCATCCGCAAACTAGCTCTATCCTCTCTGTAGCCACCCTTCAGGTAGTTGAAGGCTGCTATTAAATCCCCTCTCAGTCTCTTCTCCAGGCTAAATAAGACCAGCTCCCTCAGCATCTTCTCCAAAGTCATGTGCTCCAGCCCCCTAATAATTTTGTTGCCCTCTGCTGGACTCTCTGCAATTCGTCTACGCTCTCTCTGTAGTGGGGGTCAAAAACCCGGCATGGCACTTCAGATGCAGCCTCATCAGTGCTGAAATCGAGTGGAAGAATCACTTCCCTCAAATCTGTTGGAAACACTCCTACTAATGAAGCCCAGTATGCTGTTAGCCTACAGCTGAATATCCATAAGTCTATTCAACTTATTGTCCACTGTAACCCCCAAGTCCTTTTCTGCAGAGCTGTCAGTCCCTGCTCTGTACCAGTGCATGGGATTTCCATCCTATGTGCAGAAATTTGCATTTGTCCTTATTGAACTTCACAAGGTTTCTCTTGGTCCAATCCTCCAATTTGTCTAGGTCTCTCTGAATCCTAGCCCTACCGTCCAGCGTATCTACTACTCCCCCCAGCTTGGTGGTATCAGCAAATTTGCTGAGGGTGCACTCCATCCCACCTACCAGGTTGTTGATGAAGATATTGAACAAAACTGGCCCCAGGACTGACCATTGATACCAGCTACTGACTAGACATTGAGCCATTGATTAGTACCCTTTGAGCCTGACAATCCAGCTAGTTTCCTACTCACCTTACAGTCCATGTGAAAAATAAAACTACCTTGTTTCTTTGTAAGTTACAAGTCTGAAATATGTATCACAAATATTTTTAGAAATAATTCATCTTTTGTTATTTAGTCAGATCTATTCTGTATTTTGAAAACCTTTGTTTCAGGAAATATTGTCTGAATAGGATTAGGCCTCTTCTAGCTTTCTAGGAGAGGGTATGTTTTAAAATAAACTCAACATTATCTCCAAGGCTATTTTCCAATTTGGAATTTATTTTTATTTCCCATTCATATCAGAAAACTTTTTTTTTGGAAAAGTGGAACATTGAATACAATAATTAATCTTTAAAAGGTTAAATCAGAAAAATGCAATTTTCCTGAATAACATACAAGTGATATAATTTCAACCTGCTGGTTTCAATTTTTACTGTAAAATATTGCTGAAAAGGAATCTGTTTAGTGCAACTCAGACTTGTCAAGCACTGTTTTCTCCTGCTTTGCTGAAATATTTACAGACATTAAATACCAAATGAGCCAATTCAACTTTTGTGTTGCAACTTGACAGCGCTTGACTAGACACAGACTTCATTGCTGCCGATAGTTCAAATGCCTTCCAAGATTTAAAGCTTCACATTTTTCATCCAATCAAACTGAAGATCAATGTCAAATGACAAAAACAAAGCTCCTTTAAACCAGATCCATACTGAAAGACACTGATCATCTAGATTGCTTGTCTTCTGGATGTGTCATAATGCCCTTATGGTTGACAATGTTCATATGCTGTGGATAGAAACAGCAATCTTTAAATTGACTTTCACAACATCTGTAGTTGCTCATATTTGTGGGGAAGGAACTGTCAGTAAACCAGTGGGCTTTATCTTGTTTATGCCTCCATCCAGAATGCAGACCCGTGGATACTTGTTTTTCACTAGATGAGCTGCAAACTGAAAAAAGAAAGGCATGTTATTAGTACGATGTTTATATTCCTTAAAATACTATTTTCCCCTGAGACACAAAAGTAGAGATCAAGGGGTTGTAAAAGCAAAAGTGTCAAACTGGTAGATCAAAACTATCTTTATCTACAGGACCATCTTTATCATTTATCTTTATCACGCAGGCATTAACAGGGACATCTTCCTCTTCTAACACTACCAAGATTTCTTAACATCCAACAGAAAGGAAGCATCCTGCAGTACTGAGAAGGGATAGATAACATTCTCCAAGTGCAGTTCCGCACTTTTTTGCTGAGACTCCCAAATATAACAGGCACAGCGGCAAACATGGTAGCCTGGCAATATAAACACTTGCATGTCTGTAGGAGTTTGACACCAAGAACTAGTTCCAGAGAAGACATATGTGGTTCTGGAGTTTAGAGGTGAAAGGGTCTATATTCTCTTTAGTAATTTTCTGAATCTTCCATTCTTCTAGGAGTCTATATTTTGAAAATAAACAAAGTCTACATACAGAATTGGAGGGAACCACATCCCCATTAGGCCAAGAACAGGACTGGTCTTCAGTCACACTGTGCTTTCATTTCCAAACACTGTTCTGCCTAGTACTCCCCTGCCAGTGAAATCAGAAGTTCAGACTTACTATATGGAGATTCCTAAAAAGCAGGCTGACAGAAGCACAACCTACTCAGTAGTGCTGTGCGAAATTTCAGCAGCCATTTCATTTGGGCCTGTTTCAGTGCCCGAAACACCAAATCTGAAATGAAACAGAAGGCTCCGAGAAACATCTCCGAAACAAAATGAAACCATCCAAAACATTTCAGAGCCAGGCTTGCAGGGAAACAGAAACTAAGAGGAAGGGGGAAGAGGGGCTGAAGGACTGCTCCGATATTGACATCTGTAGTTGGCAAGTCTCTCTGAGCTGTCTCTGAGGTCCCTTCCAATCCAAGTGCTGTGGGGGAGTGATGGTAGCCTGCGCACAGATCTGGGGCCCCGCGCTCTCTGGGAGGAGTCTGGCACAGCCCCGCAGCCCTCTTGGGGTGCGCAGATCTGTGTGCAGGATGACAGCATGCTGCCACTGCTGGCTGGGGCCAGTGCCAGCACCCAAGTCTGCTCGGCACACCCTATCCCCTGTAGTAGCAGGGGGAAGCGCGGGAGAAGACCCCATGGCTGCCTTGCCCAGCCCAGCCCAGCCTCCCAGCACTCAAAAACAAAACAAACAAAATGCCCTGCACTCACCTGCTGTAGCAGGGACTCTGGGGCCACATGGCAGAGCTCCCGCATGCAGCCCTGCCATGGGCAACATGTGCCCCCCAGTGACCAGTCAGTGACCGGGGGGGGGCAGGGTTCTCTTGTGGCCGATCACGCTGACCTGGGGCACTCCCACTCCCCAGCCGGCACTTGCGGGGGAGGGGGGGAAGAGGGGCCCATCAGTGTTCCTTCCTGCCCCCCCATCCATCACCTGAGCAGGGAGCATGGCCTGTCAGGGGGTGCACCGGCACTCAGGGGGTGCATGTGCACCCTGGTGCACCCCCTATACATCACCACTGGCTCCTGCTCCCCGCTCTCCCCCCTGCCCAGCCAGCCCTGCCCCCGATGCCCCCCACTCCCCACTCGGCCCCAGCATCCCAGCACTTAAAACAGCCTCACACTCACTGGCTGCAGGAGCGGTGATTGGGGCTTCTGCGCACTCATGGCAGAGCCCCCCTGTGCAGCGCAGTGCAGTGGGGATTCCCCCCCACCCCTGCTTGGCACCCATGTGGCAGCTGCCCCATGGCATGGGTGCAGCACTGTCTGGGAGCTGGGGCAGCTCCAGGACTCAGCTGGAGCCTGGCACTGCTCAGCCCCAGTGGCCCCAGCTCCCAGACAGTGCGCAGCGCCCTGCCGAGCCACACTGCACCCATGCCATGGGGCAGTTACCACGTGGGTGCCAAGTGGGGGGACCAAACTGCACTGCCGCAACAGATTTGGCCGAATTGAAATAGAGCAGTAATCTGAAACACCAAAACGAATCACTGTCCTCTGAAATGGCCGACTCCAACATCAAAACGAGACACTGCTGTTTCACACAGCCCTACTACTCAGCTTTGTCAAATCAAAATAAAAAAAAAAAAAAAAAACATCTTCTCATGGGCAAACTAAACTATCTTCAAAATAAACTCACCCCTTTGAAACTCCCTGCCTCCCTGACCATATTTAAATATGTAAGCTAAACACAAGATTGTTATCAGTTTTCTCATTGCAGCCAAGTGCCAACTGAATACGACATGGTAAAAAAGCAATGTCCCTGTGTAGATCTATCGTGTCCAGCACGTAATAGGCTCACAAAATAGCAGCAACATATTTATACATTACAGACACTGATTGCTCATTATCAAGTAGAAGTATTAGAGAGAAACGTTTGTTAACTTTGCAAAGCTGCTCTCCAGCTTCTTTCAGATATTTCCATCTTGCAGATATATCCTTCCATATAGGTGATCTTCAGTTTGTTACACAATTGGAGTCTGCTCAATCAGGAAGACAATTTGCAGCCTTTAGCTCTTCTCTGCCCACTCGCTCCCTATGCAATCCCTGTTATGAAGAGCAGTGTTTTATCCTAACAGCTGGCTGAGAAATTGAATGTCATCTGGAAGACCGACAGCAGCCTCCCACCCTTTAAATTTAAAGACTGTACAATATTTAAGCTTCCTTCTTTCATTCTTTTTTAAATTATCTGTACTTCTCTTCCACAGCCTACAGGAGGTATAAAGTACCAAGAACTCCTTCTGCACAGACAACTAAATTACAAATGCTAGCAGAACAGATAAGTTTCCAGTCCAAGTACCAAACTGTGAACTGAATTCAGTACTTTAAACAGTAGTTTGAAAGATGCTCTTCCAGGTCTATGGTAAAGGACTGTGACAATATAATAATAACTAAGGCTTTAGAAGATGTGGTAGTGTTACCTAATTTACCTTAACAATGAAAGGAAGGACATTTTCTTTAAAGGAGATAGACAACCTTCATAGGAGCAAAGCATTAATCTACTTCCCTAGCTGGAATCATCTCCTTGCAATAAATATGTTTCAAGCTACTCTTGCTCAGGGCATTTTGTATGTGCATAACTCATTTCTGCACATCTGTATGTCAAACAAAGCTATTGAATTCCTTTCCAAGTATTTCAGGGTAAACTTCAATACTGAATGAGGATTCGGCATGTGATCCTGTGACCAAGAATACTTGCTCAAACAGAGTAAGGGGTCACAGCTGATCACAGTCAGGGAATTTCCAGTGTCAAATCTGTTGGAGGTATGGCCCTAGGGAAGGCCAAAGGCAAGTTCTACTGGTGCTTGTTTCTTTGGTTTCACTGGTTTGTGTCAGCCAATGGAATATTCAGGAGATGAAAATGAAAAACAGTGCAATCTATCAGGCAAGATGGGAGATTAACTGTCAAGTGGTGCCAACATGCAACAGAGGAATAAATACCATGCATTCTCTGGATCAGAGAAAGCGCTTTGATTCAGAGCTGCCTCTGAGGTATTACTGAAGAGTGTTCTGACCTTTCCCCATCTCATTACGGTCATCAGGCAAATGCATACAAATCATTATATGCAACAGGAATGAAGCATACATGTGTGTTTTTGAGCGGGGGTGTGTGTGTGTGAAAGCAGCATACTGTATTTAGCAATATATTGAAAATATTGTGCATTCCTCATCTCATAGATAGGTAGATATGGCATGAAGTGTCACTTATCTACCGACCGACCTACCTTTTGCATTTTTACCACAAATAGGATCTTTGCTCCATGTTTTTTAATTCACTGGTCATAACAGGTCAAAACTGTGCATTATACATAACTGCTTCTTATTCAGGGTTTGTACATCACAAATCTTGTGCTATAATGCGCTTTGCCAATGCCTCAGTAACCAAGAGTATAGATGGAAAGAGGCTTTTATTGCATATATGATAAATGATTCCTTTAAAACCTGCAGGCTTACTGAGGAAGCTCTTTGTCACAAGGGTCCCATGGCAACTATGGAGAAACCTTGGAACAAATGGGGAAAGTGGAGTGTGGAGGGGGTGGGGGGCAGCCATCAGCTAGCTGGGTGGTCTGAGGAACAGAACAATATTATAGGACAAGGAGAATTAAAGTACTCAGGAAAGTGGCAGCAAGATGGAAACAAAGTGACATAGTAAGAACTTTAGCAGGTGAAGACAGCAGACAGAAAATTCAAAAAAGAAACTGATTCTAATGAACAATTAACTGCAACAGTATGCATGGGTTTCGGGCAGGAGAAGGGCTAGAGATGTCACAGGAAGCATTTGGAAAAGTGGGAGAGATTACTCAGAAATCCCATGACAAGGCTTACCCCTGATCTCCAGAGAAACACGAAGTCAAACCACAAGATCACAGACCATAGCAGCTGGATTGTGTCCAACTGCCTTACATGAATGAGTAGAAAATAAAGCAGTAGAAAGTCTCACTAGACAATGACACTGCTTAGTTTTTGGCCAAGTGAGACCTCTGCTGCAGGAATATGAAGTTTATTAACCACTTACCTGCATCTAATCAGTCTCCACATTGGCCAACTGAGGTCAGTTGATCCCAATGTGAAATGGTGACAGAGAAGTACACAGGTCTACTTAGATTTGGGACCATCCTATCAAGACATTTCCACTGTATTTTGACTTCCTGTTCCCTTCTTTCTATGCTTTGCCTGGGAAAATTATCATGAGCCCTGGACAATATCCACTGCACAGCTGCTGCAGGAATCAAGATTCAGGGGGCTTTAGATGTATTTAAAGAAACACACTACTTTGAAATACCATGAACATATTTTTCATTTTGTAGTTGCCATGGAAAGAAGCATACACTTTTCTACAATGTGCAGTTTCAGAATGACAAAAAGCAACATATTCTTGCTTTCAACCTCCTGCATTTAACATCCTGCAAGGGAGAGCCCAGGGATCAGGGTCATAAAGTCTACTCGGATACAAAATAAACACTGCAGCA